CCTTCCAACCCCACTTGACTTCTGCTCCCTTTACTTTGCAGCCTCCTTCCCAAGAACTAACTTCTAACTCCCTTTCCATCACCTCCTTTTCTCCTTGTTTCCCTACCACTCACCATGGTTTAGCTCTGCCTGTTCTTACTGCAGGGAGCTTTCAATCCCTACAGGCAGCACAGATATTCTGCTCATGGCCACTGGCTGGGTGAGACGCTGCTGTCCCTTCCCAAAAATAAGAAAGGAAGCATCAGGGTGGGGAGGCCCTGGCACAGGGTGCCCAGAGAAGCTGTGGCTGCCCCTGGATCCCTGAAACTATCCAAGGGCAGGCTGGATGGGGCTTAGAGCACCCTGGGACAGTGGAAGGTGTCCCAGGGTGGCACTGGATGATCTGTAAAACTCCAGCTCAATCTCCTCCTGCACCCAGCTCCTGACCTAGAAGCTGTCTTTCAACAGCAAGGGAAAAATGTGACTTCTATGGTTATCATTCAAAGAGTTAAATCAGACTCCAACTCTGCTAAGCAGGAATCAGTCATGGACTCAAGTCTTTAGGAATGACAAATCCCACACCTAAACTAAAGCATGGGCCAGAAAATGGTTAACAGCAGGTTGTACTCCTGACAGTGAAATACAGAACGATTAACAGCCCTCAAATGGATCCCAGAATACCTAAATGATACTGCTGACACCAGTCCAGCTCTATAAATGGGAGTCTTTTAAAATCCCTTCAATCTTCTTGATCCTCTGACTCAGGAAGCTACTTTAAGTTTCTTGTGTTAAAGTTATGATCATTGGCCCACAGCATGTGGCTAAGCCACCACTGAAAAAAAAAAAAAAAAAAAAAAAAAAAAGACTGAGTCTCACATTTTGCCAAAAATTGTTCCCTCACTAACTATAAGCTAAAATGTAAACTCAAATTCCTTTGAGCAACTGATATAATTTTCTGTTCGTGACAGCACTTAAAGTCTATTTTAAAGAAAAGCAACATACTGAGCTCACAATTCCAAACCCAGCATCTCCCAGGGATGAGAAAGAGGATTTAACAGTCCTGAAGTTTCTTCAACTGCTTTCTCTTCAGGTAACACCTTTGGGAAATCTTACTCTGGGATCCACTGGGAGAGCAAGCTAGCCCTCAGAAAGGCTGGAGAAAACACCAGGGAGGTTTGGTGTACTCAGTACCAGAGCATCTGTTTTAAAAATAACAATACCAAGGCGGCTTATTCATAGCTGACTTTACTTTCAGACAGATATCCAGGTATCCATGTTCAGAAATTTAATTTCTGAACAGTCTTTCAGATAACTTCTGATATTTTAAAATCTGTAGTTAAAGACTTACATCTTTATCTAAAAAAACTTCGTGTATACTAACAGAATCTGGGGCAAAAAAACCCATGAAGCTGAATATGATTTTATCTCCTATCATTTTACCTCTCCTGATGCACAAGACCTGGATCACAGACCAGTCTTCACAGTGAACCAGATGTTTTCATCCCACGTTCCCAGCTTCCCAGCACCACTAAATCCCTCAGTTTCTTGTTTCATTGTACCTTCAAACCCTGTTTGCTCCAGGACTTCAGAACTAATGTTTTACTGCTTTACAGAAGTGAGGAATTACTTTTCCTACCAAAGGGATTTTTATTTTTAGGAAATGAGTCAACTATGTTGGTATCCAATGACATATAAACATATAGCAGAGACACATATATAAATACATATATAAATACATGAGGGGGTTGTGCAACTCATTGTCTTTGAACTATTCCAGGATTTGTGGAGGTAAAGACTTGTAGTTCCACACATCACTTAAAATGTTATTTTTTCACTAAGGATTTTACCACTGTTTCAAGTGTCACGGTACCCTCCCCTGGATGGGCCAACTGTTCTGTCACTGTGCTATATTTTAACAGGCATTTTGCTTTGTATTTGGTGAAAGGTTAAGACTCCCTCGTACACCTTCCAGGACATTATGGTGCTGGGAGAAAGACAATCCAGCAACACTCACCCCCAAACACATCTCCGTTCTGGTAGTTCTTGCCCTTCTGAGTTTCCTCTTCGTTTTGAACAGTAGACACATGCTTGGCGGAGGCACAGCCCATAGCTTCATTCAGACAGCTCCAGCTGCACCGAACCACAGAGCATCTCTAGCAACGCCCGCTCATCCTCGCAGCAATAATCCACCTTCCTGCTCGGCTCTCACGTGCCCTTCACCTAAACATGGCCAAAGAGAGAGGAAAACATTCACACAAGGTACCCTCTACACGGCGAGCTTCAAGGAGATAAAAAGTGGAGTTTGTGAGGAGGAGCACAAGGGCACAGCCTCCATGGCCTGAGGCTGCTAAAACCATGTTCTATAAAAGATGGTACAGGCAAGTCGTGATAAAGGTACCTCCACCCTGCCCTGGGACGGAGCTGTGGAACTCAAAGCCTCTTCCAGCCTGACTCTTTAATCCATGGCTTGAAGAAAGCATCATGCAGATCTGCTTCCCACCCAGCCCGCTATTCTCACAGAACGCAGAGGGTTTTGGGAGAAGAGATAAGGAACCATCAATATCTGCTCCTCCTGCTCCTTTTACCAATCTACTCATCAAGCCAGATTTCTTAAAAGCATTTTACTGATTAAGAGCTGCTAATTGCAAGTGTTTGGACAAAATAACCCCTCTAAATCAATTAAAGATCTTGTGTTCCCAGATGTGAAAGGCGATAGTCAGCTGTATTATCTTTTCTCTACGTGTTCATTATTCTACTTAATCCATAAAACCTCCATCACTCAAAAAGATAACCACCCCCATTTTAAGATGGAATAACACTCCCTGAACAGTCCAGATGTCACATAAAACAAAGGGAAAAGAAAAATCTAATCCGGAACGGTAATATTTTAGGTTAAAAAGAAATTTGAATTCATGATCTGTTTATTTCTAAATGGTTCTGCACTGGAAAAAAGCTACCTCAAAGTTTGGTGAGATGACCTGGTTTGCCTTTCCACCAGTCAAACTTTTCAGAAGAAAGAAAGCGAGAAACTCTCCCTTTTTGCCAAGTTTTTTAGCTCAGCTATACATACACAATTTCTTAATTCAACCTCTGAGCATGTACCTTACAAGGCTGTGGCTCATTCTGCTCCATGCAGACAATTTAATGTGTAACAGCAGACACGCGCTCTTACCTAGGACAGGGAGAGCTGGAGCGAGGTGATCTTTAAGGTCCCTTCCAACTCAAAGCATTCTGTGACACAGCAGTATCCATTCCAGCAGAAATGTATAATCCCAAGGCAAGTGGTGACTTTCCTCTCCCTGGGCACCCAGCACTGGGCAGGTCAGTGACACACCAGCACATGCTCTAGGAGGGTTCTGCTCCCACCTCCGCAGGGGTTTTCCTGCCCCTCCCCAAAGCCACAGACATGAGGATGTGGCAGCCAGGCTCAGAGCGATCCTGTTTAGCACACCATGGCTTTCACCAAGCAAGGGGAAGGACTCTGGGTGCAGAACCACCTCTAACTCCTACTCACAGCCAGCTTCCCCCTTCTCTGCACAGAGCAGTGCTTCTCCTCCACTTGGCAAGGGCGTCCCAGAACATACAAAGTGTATCTGCCAACCCCTGTTCCCAGCATCCACCCCTCCCTTGTTTTATTTCAGTACATCCCCCCACATGCTCTTCTTTCTTCCTTCTCTTACACATGCACACCTGAGCCTGAATTTCTTATTGCCCCATCCTTCTCTTCCCCCTTAGACAAAGCAAATTACTCATCCCAAAACACAGGATTTTATAGAATCACAGAAAAGCTTTGAACTCATCTTGTTGCAACCTCTACCATGGGCAGGGACACCATCCTCTAGCCCAGGCTGCTCCAAGCCCCATCCAATCTGGCCCTGGACACTTCCAGGGCAGCCAATGTTTTGGGCAACAAACACCAGGCATTGTTGCTGTCAGTGGAAGGGAGTGAGCACACCCCTCTGGAGCGATTTTTTTAGCCCTATACAGTTACATAACTTTCCCCCATCCTGGAAAACATAGATTTTACAGGAGAAGTCATTATGAAGTTCCTCAGTTTTTGCAGTTCAGGGAGGGTCACAGCTGACAGTTCATCCTCTCCTCTGTTCAAGGAGCAACCTGCATTAAAGTCTTCATCTCACTGTTGGGGTCAAGCAAGGATCCAAAGGATTTAAAGCATCAGCCATGCAGTGCTTGGAGATAGGTAAAGACACTCAGGGGTGTGGGAGATGGAGGAGAAACAGCAGACTGGGAGAGGGAACTGCTGCCTGCACTGCAAATGAAACGGGGCCTTATCTTCCCAGAGAACATAAATTTGGTTAAAGACAAAAGCTTTTCATGGACCAGCTGAAACAAATGAAGGGGTAAACGTGATCAACAGTGTCCTTGATTCAGTTTTCAGAGAAAAGCAGGAGCCTCCAGGTAGACAGAGCCTGAAAGCACTGACTTCTGGTTTGAAATACAACCAGTAGTATTATTCCAGGGAAAAGGGTGTGGCCAACTATAGGAAAAGGAGCAAGAGAAGGCTTGATGTAATCCTGGAAAGGATGTGGAGGTGTTTGGGTGAGATCTGGGTAGGAGGCTGTCGTGGGGGGAATTGCTGCCTACCACAGCTCAGCACCACTGAGCAGAACTCAGGCACAGAAGTACCTGTTGAATGAATTATGCTCCTGCCATATTCAATTATTTTTCCTGTTTCTTTTTCTGTCTCTCAGCAGGGACCATTTACAAAAAGGAAAACAGCTGCTCAGTAATAAAACCCAAATGTATTTCACAAAGGAGCAGTGGGTTTGGTTTAGGAAGGAGATTTTTTAATGAAGCCTTATACAGCCAGCATGCAGCACAACAAATTGCAAAATACTTAATTATTGATTAGTGCCCAGGATGGTCAGGGTCCCAGGACCACTGAGCTGCATGAACAATCAGGAGCAAGGAGATATAGAACAGGAATGCAGAAGGATAAAGCTCTTTTGGGGAAAAAAAAGGAAGAAATATCCACTGTCAAATCTCTCCCGCAGCATTTTGGTAGCACACATCAACCTCTAAAAATATGGTCACAAATGAAAGCATGCTGTGATTAAAGGAAACAGATGGGGATACAGGAACTGGAAGTTTCACTTTTTACATGAAAGAATAGCAATCACAGCAGCACCTGAAAAAGCCATACAATTAATAGTTGGGTTATGGAGGCAAACTTCTCCTGGTGCCAATAAACTGGGCTGAGAAAGCTACTGAAAAATGACCTCCAAGGTGAGTCTAAAACACTTCCAGGCATGTTCCTTGGACTGCTGTTAACATAGCACTGTGAACACAGGTAACTAAACACAATCTAAGGATAGCAGAGGATTTAATACCAAGAACAGAGTGGGAGGAAAGCAGCATTAATTTCACAGGGGATGAAATCTGGTACAGCACGATGCTCTCCAGCCTTGGGAGACCTCCCCTGCCTGAGGACCAGAGCCAGGGATGAGGTTTGGGAATCACTCAGAAGAGAGGTGCTGGTCCTCACTCAGTGGGATGCCTGGCAAAGCTTTGGGGATGTGAAACACAGCGCTTCACCCAGCAGCAGAACAACACATCCGCTCCTCCTCCTCCTCCTCCCCCACTTCTGCACAAATGTAACCTTCCCTTTTGTCTTCCATGGCATTTTGGGGGCACACATATTTTCAGAAGCCAAAAATAAAAAGAAGAAGAAAACCTCAAACCATTTGCAGTTCATGTTCACCACCCACCATCACTAATTATCAAGATTTGAGAGGCAATTTGCAGGCTCCTATCTGCAAAATGCTGGTGAGAAAAATCTCTCAGGCAGATCAAAAGTGTACACCACCCCCAAATGAAATGCAGCAGGTTGAGGATTAACATCTTACAGCAGGTCAGAAGAAGACTAGAGGCACTCTCAGATGCTGTGCTTTGTACCCAGGTTTCTTCTGAGCTAAAAATGGGGGAGCTCAACTCTTAGAATAGAAAATACCTTTGGAAACCTTCAGCAATTCCTTTTTTGTTTCTTCTGAGCAATGTCTATGATGTGGTTTTTCTTTTACCAACTCTTTCAACACTTCATTAATCCACTCATTACACCCTCACCTCTTATTTCTGATGGTCAAAGGCTGCATCCTTGACAAAACACATTTTGCTTCCATAAACGCTTCATACAAATGGAGGACTTCCAGTGTTTTACAACAAATGCATGTTAATTCTTCTGTTACAACAGGTGTATTTGTTTTCATCTTTATTGCATTGAGATAACTGATCTTGCATCATCTTCAGGCTGCAGATACATTCACAAATTTCTTTCCGTGCTGACCACACAGGAAATCAGGTTAAAATTTTACAATGTTAAAGAGATCAAAGCAACAATTTCCATGCAACCATGAAAAACCCCTAAGCTAAAAAAGCCACACTGGCTTTTCCTATGGAACAACCTATTCCAGGCAGACCTTGAAGATTTAACTTACTGCTACTAATTACATTTATTTCCTATAAGAAATAGGACTGTTTGATTTCCATTTCATTTTTTTTCCCAAGAAGAAGAAAGCAGAAATGAATTCCAAGTTTGTCCTGCACTTCTCCACTGTGACATCTCTCTTTCTCAGCTACCCTCCACCACAAAAGATGGCTTTTTGGGTTTTACTCAACAGCCAAAAGGCATTTTTGGAGCCAAAAAGATATCACTTTTGCCTCTGAAGTACACCAATGGCCTAAGGAGGGAAAGAAAAAGTATTTTTAAAAAAAGTTCATATAAGGTCTCTTTCTCCTTCTTCAAATTATTCAAATTGGTATGAATAGTGCAGTTATATTGAAAATTAATCTACTGAGTTGCTAAATAAGCAGGGCTAACTGAACAGCAGAATGAGTGATGCAAACACTCTAGAGTATCATCTTCCAGTGGCACTAGGAGGAAAAGAAAAGTCAAAGTGAGTGGTGACTTCTCTTCCTTGGGAGCCATGGACAAACCATGCTGCCCTCACCCACTGGTACAAACAGCCAGCTTAACACAGGACAGCCTCTGCTCTGCTGAGGCTTGGATCACCTTTTTCATCAGCAAAATTTGCTGGTCTTATTTTCTTTTGCTTGCAGTCAGGATTTCTGCTGATCCAGTACATGGGGTTTTTGACATATTAAAGCAACAAGTGATTTCCAAATAGAAAAGCTCTCAACAGCATCGTGATACTTCCTGGGAGCATATTCTCCTTGCTCGGACTCTTAAGGAGACATACCAC